TTCTCACTCAGCAACTCCTTCTGTCTTAGTGTCATTATCGCCTTGTTGAAGTGAAATGGTAAAAAAAAATGTCTTCCTTATTATTGGGAAATTTCAACCTCTTCTTCAATGCAACCGGCATCAACCACTGACGCCTTAGGCCAACAAAATCAAAGGCATTACTTTCTAAGCGAACAACCTATATATAAAATAGATGTTAGTATATCTGTGCGCATTCAACCATCGGCGATATAACTTTGTTGGCTTGATATCAAAACAATTAAAACACAGAACCTTACAAAAGAATGCTTTTCCACCTAAAACTCTTTGTTTACTAGATTTTGTTTAAGTTATGATCTCTTGGCTTAAGTTCATAAACATCCCTAACCCATCAATAAAGATAGGATAAATAAAAGAAATGTCTTCTTGTTCGATATGCCACGTCCCTTCAAAACCTGTGAGATTATGCCGCTCCACAACTTCCTATCCTTTGTAGATCTTACCAATGTTTCTCTTTTTACTATCCTCCACCTCCTGTTCTGTTATTTATTAACACAAGCTCATTAAACGTTACTGGCTGTATCATTGTGCTCCTCTTGCCTTCAATATTTCCTGTGAGTGTCAAACTTTCCAAGCCTTCTTTCCTCTAGAAATCTCAACTGTCTCTTTCTGATTTTACTTTTGCCTTGATATGACGATAAACTACATCCGGCAACAAGGTCTCTAATCGGGAGTTTTTGAAGAGCATGAAACCAACTCTTAATTGCTGTTGTTCCCAGGTCCACTCTGACCCGGGGTATAGTACCTGTTATAGTCCCAGCTATGGGCAAAGAGTGAACCCCCAAACTAGGGCCAAAACAGGAAAATATGAAAATACATTAGAAAAATTACCAGCAATTCACTTTGGGGATAATACCAACGCTCACAAGAAATTAAAATTTCGGTATTAAATGACCCATAAGGAGTTGATGTGCCGTTAAGCAAACAAACCAAATTTGATTTTATTGATGTCAAATAAAAACTACTTTTGATGCGTTTGACATGTAAACTCTAAAAAAAACGGATTCTTGTGGCTAGCTTTGTCTAGCACAATACTATAATTGTGGGCACTTAGTGAGGACCAAAATCTTAAAGCTTGCTGTAGCTTAGTCTGACTCAATATTGCAAACGTGGGTTAACCAGTAAATAGTCCACTCATTGTCAACGATCTGCAAGATTTTATGACTAAATTCGCTCTGTTACAGGTCCTGAACGATTTGTACTGGTAGCATAAATTTTTACATCCTCAACTTGATTTAAATGTTTGAGGTCAAGCAGACAAAAATGAAATCGAATTTTAATACTCGGCATATCTTGTTCGTTGTTCTTACGACGGAGCTAATCATGCAAAAGCTAGTTATGAGAAATGAGCAAAATAAAATAAAATCTCAGTTGTCATTATTTCATTGTTGTGTTCCGACAAGTACAAAAGTCGCCAACATTTTCCATTTTATACAACGAGGCTTCTAAAATGGCGTCTAAAATGACGTTGTACTCAAATAAATCTCAATTAACATTGAAAAAGTCGCAGATTTACGAAAGGAAACAAATAGAAAAATTACTAAAAGTAGAAGGCTTTTAAGTCCCTACCATTTTTAGTTACAAAACTATCAAATAAAATGATTTTCCGTTAGAATTTCTTCAAGATATACTTCGGCGCATTCTCTTGACGTCTTCAAGCATTTTTTTCTCAAATAATTGTCAAAGCTAAGTTTATTTACAGCTGTGACATCGAATGAAAATGTAAGCTTTTAAAAAAATGAATAAAATAAATCAATAATCCGGCGGTGGCTTAAATGTATTAATACTAGCTGAAGTAATCGTATACAATGTACAGATTTGAATCAAAGCTGATTATAGTGATAATAAATGATTACATTTCACTAAGTGAAGTTCCAATCACAAATGAATTTTAAAAAATTGATTACATTCCAAATATCGAAAAGTACGACCGAAAATGTATTACCGAAATCTGAAAGGGTTCGTTTCGAAATTCCAATCACCTGAAGATGGCCAGAGCTTATAACGGCCGAAACGTTGTGAAAATGGCGAGATGAGGATAACAGTCCGAATAATGTAAATAATGCTCTAATAGGGCGTAAAATGCCTTTCAAATTTAAGAAAATAGATTTCTTCTTGGAAATACGATGTAAAATGGAAAATGTATTTTAGAGAAAATTGCTTTCTATAACCGCACAAATATTTTTCTTGTCCTGGCATTAATATTAAAACGGAATTATAACCTTACACACTACGATTGCAAACTGTATATGTTATTAAGATATAGCTGCATCAAAAATAAACGATAAATGCGCATTTCAGCTGAGCCTAATGCATACATAATTTAAAGGCTCTATGACACATTGAAAATGGTTGTGAATAAAGCAGCCACATAGTTGTTGACGGCAAATGATACTTTCTGCTTCAGATGAAATATTAGTAATTAAATAAATATTTATTTAATCTATCTTAAAATGTATGATTAAAAATTCCCAATGACTTATTTCATATTATTATGATTAAAAATTCCCAATAGCATATTTTTCAAGATTTTAATATATTTAAAAAAATTATGAACGATTTTTCATCCAGACTAAAGTTGCTTGAAGAAATAATGAAAAAATCATCTTCTTCTTTGAAGTCTTAAGATTCTTAAAACTATAATTATGGAGAAATAAAATTGGTCTTTGTTTAAAAGTTGCGCTCCTTCCCAAACCAGATGTCTTTTGGGTGGCAAATTAAAAATAAAATATCCCATTTTTTTTCAAATATTTTTGTTAGATTATAAATTATATTTTTCTCTTATTGTCCATGAAATTTGAAAATATTTGCATTATTATTAATATCTTTAATTAATAATTTGATTAGTTGAATTTTCACGGGATACTGATTAGATTTAAGAGCAAAATCATTTTACACAAAATAAAGATTATAGTTTATTTTGATAATAAATGATAACGCACGTGAGTTTTAAGAGATGTTTGGGTTTTATTGCCCCAATGATGTTTACCCATGATATATTTTATGAGTCTGTGGTGCCAATCAGTCCACCATATACACTCAGAGCATTTACACACAGCACTGGACTGAGCAGTTTTTCTTGGTAAAAAACCTGTTAACTTCCAAACGTAAGTTTAATTCTCTTTTTTTTTATTTTAATAACTGAAACATTTTAAAACAAAACAGCCTTCATTTAAATTTAGAAATTAAACTGTTATGGCATTATGCAGGAAGTCTAAACTATTCATTCATAAAAAAAACAACAGTTTACTTATTTGGTTATGTTATTTGGTGATTGATACGCAATCCCAAAATATTCAGCTTATTTTTTTAAGGAATGCTCTCTTCATTGTAGCAGCAGGAGCCAACCTCATACGATCTTTTGCCCTGCTATTTTCGAGAAATTCTGAAATAATGTTTATTTTGTTTTCAATTTATTGTTAAAAATAAAGTTTTCAAATTTTAGAATTGAAAAATGTTCATTGATATATATTTATTGAAAAATGTTCAAATTAATTTATTGTAAAAGAAAATTATTTAAGAATTCAGATAAAAACAACAAGTTTATTTTCCAAAACAAAGCAGATGAAAAGTGCGTACGAGTTTGACTCCTGCTAATTTGTAGGCGGCATTCTTTAATAAAAAAAAGCTGGAAAATTTGGGATTGAGTATCTTGAAGATAACCAATTATTTGATTTTTTTTATATTGAATACGTTGATATAAAACATTGGATCAGTTGAAGAATCCCCCAAACTGTAAAATCTCCACCCCCAACTTAACTCAACTGTAGAATCTCCTCCAGACTGATCAACTGTAGATCTTTGAAAGTTGTTAAAAATGAATGTCATTTTTTTTTCCTTTTCAATTAGTTGTTTTCGTAGAAAAGGATTGGAGATTTTTAAATTAAAAAAACATTCGTAGTAAAGTAGAACCAGAAATAAACGCGATTTAAAGTGTGTATACATTTCGAAAGTTTTTACTAAACTTGCAATTTTTAAAGCTCCAAAACTGTATAAATATAACACTCTTCAGAGATTTCAATAAATTTTTCATAAAATTATTATTTTAGAAATATTATGTGAAAATAACATTCTACGTTTAATTTTAATTTTTTGTTTTTTTAGAGATTTTTAAACTATACATTTCAGAAAACTCAAATTACAAATTTAACTCAAATTACAATATTAACTTTTTATATTAATATTATAAACTAAGAATCTTAAGTTTGTAATATAAAAAAGGTAAGTTAACATTACCTAGATGTAAAATTTTCAAATATTACGCTTTAAAGTTTTCCGGGATGATTTTAAAAATACTTTTAAATATTCATTTAGGATCAACTGTAGAATCTATATTCCATCTCCACTGTAGAATCCCTACAAGCACGTCTGGGGAAAACAGTTTCTTCAATTGATCCAAATTATTTTTTTACATCGAGTATTAGAAACACAAAAACAAATTAAAGATTTGTTTCTCTAAAATAGCAAAAACAAAATCAAGTGAGAAGTGTAATTATTTAATATTGACTTTTAATGTTTATTGTTTTAAAAACTTTATTTTAAAACACAAATATTTTTTTTAAATAACTGGCTGAATTGATGGATATAAATAAATTGTTATTAAATATTTCTGTCCTTATTAGTTTAGTTTCATTATCATCATAGGCTGTAAGGATAAACTCCTGTAATTATTTACTTCTATATTTAAGCAACACTTTACTATGCCATTATAAGATGCGAATGGCTCACGAATATGTCTAGCTAACTTTGGGATAGTTAAAAAATTATCAACCTTTTTTTACAACCCCACTTTCAGCCACTTTCAGCCTTGTGCCAAATTGTATCTTATTACAATAAATAAAAATTCCTATGCTGTTGAGTATGATCATTTCCTATTTGTTTTTTTTTTTTTTTTTTTTATCGATTAGAATGAGTAAACAGCAAAAGCTGAGTGGTGCGGCTTACCGTAAGTTAAAAGCTACCAGATAACATGAGGAAAGAAAATGTGCTGTATCGTTACATATTTTCCTACAGAAGAAATATGTAACTAAAGGAAAATGCAAAGACGGGGATGCTGAATGTACATCAGAAATAAGAGAGGAACATGGAGAAAATGCGAATATGGTGGAGACAAATATATAAATAAAAGTTGAAGAGGAATTTCCTGTAGGAATTATGGTTGTTATAGAAATTGAAGGTGACATTGATGATGTGCCACAGGAAGAGAGCTCCAGTGCAAGCAGTAAGGACAAGTATGAATATGAAGAAGGAACTGATGAAGTTACTGGTAATAAAGAAATAGAACAGGCAAACATAGAGATTACTGTGTACGATGACATCGCATTTTGGCCACTAATTTACTTAGGGCAGTGGCTTGTTGATCTTGTAACATTGGGACCTAAAAAGTTTCAAAACAAAGATAAACCATTTGCTCCGACTATAAGAACGGGGAAAATAGTCCGAGGATAATGCTACAACACTGGTTTTACAAAACCATGTAGAATGGAGAGACTGTTTTGTGATCATGGTTGCTGTACTTAAAGACGAACAAATCTCTTTATCGTTCCTGCTGTAACCTCTTCCTGAAGACAGAGCAGTGGAAATCAAGCCTAGCAAGAAATCCAGGATTTCAACAGTTCTGGAAGCTTAATTCAAAAATGCCTGAACATAATTCGTCTGACCACCAAAGAGTTTTCAAGGAATGGAGGATGTTGGAAATGCCCCTTAATGAAGGTAAAACCCTTCACAGTAAATTACAAGAACAAACTATTAAAGAAAGAGAGGTTTCGAGACAGGTTACATGGTTACTTGATGTCGTTAAATTTCTGACGAAATAGAAATTGCCTAATAGGTCATCGAGAAGATGAATATAGTTCCAATCAAGTAAACTTGTAGAACTTGTTGAACTTATGAGCAAGGATGATCCTCTTCTTGGAAAGTATTACTTGAAAGAAGTAAATGATAACTGGCAATATTTGTCTCCAAAAATCCTAAATGAATTCATTCATATCTTGAAAAACCACGTAAAGGAAAATATATTGAATCGAATTCGAAAAGCCAATTATTTTGCAATCATACTAGACAGCACGCCGGATATTTGTCATTGTGATCAGATGGGTTTCATTTGACGATATAAAGAACTGGAGGTGTGGGAATCATTTCTTGGTTTTATCACTGAGCATGGGAAGACAGCTTATGATATCAAGAAGATGATTTTGGATCGACTGGAGAAAGAGAAATTTGATTTTGAAAAATGTAGAAGGATAGAATTTGACAATGCGGCTAGTATGGCTGACGTTCATGGTGATGTTCAACGTCTTCTACGAAACATAAATGGGAAAGCTAAATTTGTGCCATGTTCTAATCATAGTCTGAATTTAAGCAGTGTTCTTCCTTCAGCTATGAATGCAAATGTCATTACATTATTCAGGGTGATCGAGAGACTCTACATTTTCTCCTCTTCCAAACACCGATGGAAAGTTTTATCTTCGCATGTGAAGGTCATGATGAAGTGTTTGGTAACCACCCACTGGAGTGTATGTTACGAATCTATTCGTGCAGTGAAAACTGGATTGCAAGGTAGGATTCAGACACTCGATTCATTAACCTCAGCTTCAGAAAATCTTCAAACGAGAGGGATACACAAATCATTTTGCTTTTAATTGAAAACTTCTTCTTCATGTCATATTTGTTTTAATAGGAAGAAATTCTGGGACATTTAAATCTGATCCAAAAGAAAATTCAACAAACTGGTATTGATTTGGATGTGTGTGTAACCCATATGGATGAGCCCAAAATTTTCTTTACCCGAAACAGGTTATCGGTTAATGAAAGTAAAACAAAGTGCGAGGAAATGGAAATTGCAGTTGAAAAGCGAATTAGAAGAAAGAGAAATCTACCTGGGAAAAAAGATGATGATGTATGTTAAACATTTGTGTAGGAAGTAAAGACAATTTTTTACGAATGTCATGAGCAACTTGTAAATGAACTGGAAGCAAGATTTGAGACCCATGTCTCATATGCAGACTGTTTTCGCAAGATTATCATCTCAACCAATCCTGGAAGATACTGAAGGCGAGTTGGAGCCAAAATTTAAAATCCTCGATAGCGAATACGGTGCTGACTTAGACGTATTTAAGCTGCATTTAGAAGTTCTCCGACTTCGGGAATTTTAGCGGCAGTTTCTAAGATGGAACGTGACATGACCATGATGACCAAATCATTGTCTATCGAGTGGCTGAGATGGATTTATCGATGGCAAGTTAAAGAAACAATGCCAAATATTGTGATTACTGTACTACTGTACTGATGCGGCATTCACCCTGGGCGGATTGAGCCGGCTTCTTCCTGTTATAAGAAGAAGATTCTTGGGATAAATTACATAAGTAGGGTACCCAGGCCTACTCGGATAACGTTCTTGCTTGCCGCGGGGTTCCCACAAACGCAGAGACAGGAACGACCAGAAGCCGCCGGATGCAGACGCCCCTTGGATTTTCACCAGAGCCCTTGTTAGCCGGCGTGCGTGTCAGACCTGTCCGCCTTGGGTGGCCCTACCAGGAACGAAGTTCCGGGCGGCATAGCTCTGACACTACCGTTTACACCCCACCCCCCACCGACTGTGAGGTAAGGGTTGGACTTTGGGGGCTTACAGTACCAGGTGTTCCCAAGCGGTCCCCCATCTAAGTACTGACCTGGCTCTACGCTGCTTAACTTCGGTGATCGTACGAGAACCGGTGTTTCAGCGTGATTTGACCGTAAAAAATATTGTGATTGCTCTATGGCTGTTTTTGACGCTCACAATTTCTGTTGCTACTGTAGAGATAAACTTCTCAAAACTGAAGCTCACTAAAAGTCACTTGAGGCGGAGTATGTCGCAAGATCGCTTATCCAATTTATCCTTCATTTCAATTGAACATGAAACTGTGGAGAAAATAGACTTTCTCTGATTTAGTAAACTTTTATTTTTTATAAACCTAGTAATTTTGTTTCCAAAAAAACTCGAAATGGTTAAAATATGAGAACGTTTGTTTTTCACAGCTAATTTTTTTTGTCGGAAACATGCTTGTTGTTTTTCAAGTATTAAAATAATTAAAATTAAGGATATTCCATTTATATTTTCCTCTCCCAAAAAAAATGGGTGCCTTTTTTTTTTTTTGTACGGGCCCTAGGCGACAATTTACCTCAGTACGCTCCTGTTACCATCACCGAAGTTAAGTAACTTCGAGCCCCACCAGTACATAGATGAGTGACCCTTTTCCTTCGTTTTAAAAAAAATTATTAGTTGCTTAGCCTCTCCGTCCATGGAATTCACGACTTCATTCTGTAGAACTAAATTCCTGTTACCTCCAGTTTTGCAATTACTTCTATATCCAGTATTCACTGTCATAAAGGTAGATTGATATCACATAAAATTTCATCATTCTTTCTTTCTAATCAAATGTTCTTGATTTTTAGTATTCTTCTACATCACTGGTTATAATCTTACTTATTATAAAATGCAGAGTGTGTGTCTGTACGTTTATATATTGGATCGGATTTCCTATTTTCAACCGATTTCAACAAAACTTAACAGGACTACGTAAAATTGTGACACACCTGGTTCTGTCAGCGCAAAACTTGCAAAAATTGGAAAAACACAATTGTTTTTTCATGAAATCAATTTAAAAAACATTAAGAGGCATCATGAGAATGCCCAAAAGGGGACAACTCTATAGAGTTATAATTATTATAAAACCCAGGTCGTTTATGTGGACCACGTGTGTGTGTGTGTGTGTGTGTTCGTTTATATGGACTAATAAGACGATTTCCCACCATTTTCAACCGATTTCAATCAAAACCCAACACTGGTAAGACGTAAAATTATTTCTGCGGACATTCTGTCATCTTCAAAAATTGAAAAAAAACACAATTGCCAAAGCATGAAATCAATTTGAAAACACGATTAAGAGGCATCATGTCCGAGAATGAAAGGGGGACAACTCATATAGAGTTACACCACGCCATTATAAAACCCAGGTCGTTTTTGTGTGTGCGTGATGTGTGTGTGTGTGTGTGTTCGTTTATATATGGGATCGGATTTCCTCGTAATTTTTCTAGCGATTTCAACAAAACTTCACATTTTTTTTTTTGGCCCAAAGTGTTTCTTATTGTCTTGCACATATTGGAGCACCACACTTTTTCTTTATTTTTCTACATTCAGATTGCTTTTAAAAAATCCAATTTCAAGACAATTGTTTATAATAAAATTCTATTCAATCGGTGGACTAGCAAACATACGATTGAAAACAATGCTTTTGTTTGAGTTTGGGTTTGACCAATTCGTAAAATAAATAAATAAATAAATAAATAAGACATGCGTGTCCGACAATAATCTTTGTCAATTTTATTTTTCAATCTTTATGATGGTCGATAAAGATCTATCTCTTACTGTTACATTCTGATCAACGAACTGGCGGGCTCTACTGCTAGATGTATATATATATATATATAGAGAAAGAGAGACTAGCATCAAACATTTCATTGATGCAACCTCACTAGACTAATAACTCATCAAAATTATATTCTCATTGCATATGTGAGACTAGCTTTCGTGCCATATCACGTTGAAAATCCGGTTCACATCCGTTAAACACAGGTTAATCTTGGTCTAATAACTAAAGAGATGATCCCTGCGGAATACCAATCTTCTAAGTGTGAATGTACGTATGGTTCTAATGGATAAAGACTCGAAAAAAAATCGAAGCTGAGTTTCAATTCCATTTGATTTGGTTTAAGACGGTAAAAGTTTGTTTTGCGGGCATATCAACCCCTCAATGGGTTGTTTAATGTCAACAAGAGTTTTATTACCGGTAATTTTTTTTTTCTTTTGCCAAAAATGTATTGCTAGTAATACTTTTTTCCAAAAATGTATTGCTGGTAATATTTTTCCAAAAATTGCTGCTAATATTTTTTTTCAAAAATGTATTGCTGGTAATAATTTTTCTTCAAAGATTTATTGTTGGTAATAATATTTTACTAATTATTTCTGGTATTAAACTTATTTTTTACAATTTCATAGTGTTTTGACTTTAGTTTGGGGGTCATCTATTTGCCCATAGCTGGGACCCTAACAGGTGCTACCACTCTTGGTCAGGGTGGACCTGGAACACCAGCAATTAAGAAGTGGTTCCACGCACCTCAACACCTCCTGATCAGAGGACTTACTGTAGGATGTAGCTTATCGTCTTACCGTAGTTTATGTCCGTGTATTGTTTAATCTATTGTAATGTAATTGTCATCTGTGGTGATGGCTTATGTAAGTCGAAAGCTTAGATAG